CGCTTCACTGAGACTGCGAGCTCCAAGTTGATAAAAGGAACTCTTCATATGATACCGACTAGTGGGAAAGGTAGAAAACAACAAAAAAAGAGAACTTTACAAATAATAGATATTTGCAAAGAAAGCAAAAGCTAAAGATGGAGAAAGGGAGAAGTATAGATATCCAAGAAAAAAAAAAGAAATGAGATCTACAGATTCCTAACAAGCTATAAGAATTAAGAATAACGGATATATAATATTAATTATAGATAAAAACATTAAAAATTTGAAATTATATTTTGGGAATTTATTGCAGAAGGCTTTAAGTAATAAATAAATTTAAAATAGCAACTAGGTAGAATAAAAAAATGTGTAATAAATTAAACCAAAAAATGAAGTTGAGTTAGTAGTTAAGAAGATACATAAAGGCAAGACTAGGGTGAAAATATATTTCTATAAAAAAATAAAAAATTTAAACTAGTTTGATATGTAATTTTTTTTAATGACAAACTTAAAGACTCATGGGAAATCAAAAAATAAGAAAATGGTTGTTTAGTACCAGTATTTCAAACTAAATAAGATAATCAACATTATGATAAAATGTTAATCTAAGGGAACAATACTTAAAAGACATCACTGAAATTTCCAAATAAGAGATTAAAATATAAGATTAAAAATCGTGTTTGCATTAAATAATAAACTTGATTTATTCTAGGATCAGCCACTATGGAAGCGATATTATAACTAAGCCAGTTAATTAAAATTATAAAGAACATAAAAAAAGATTAGTCATGGTTTTGATTTATCTTGATAAAGCGATATGATCAGATATCATGAAAATGGATAGCATTCAAGAGAAAAGGTGTAACAAATGCCTTATTTAAAATTGTGCAAAACAATGAGGGCCTCAATGCTTTTTACAAACACTCTTAATGAGGATCAACCACCATGGAAGCGAAATTAGAACTAAGCCAGTTAATTAAAATTATAAAGAGCAGAAAAAAGGATCAGTTATGGTTTTGATTTATCTTGATAAAGCAACATGATCAGGTACCATGAGAATGGTTAGCATTCAAGAGAAAAGGTGTAACAAAGGCCTTATTTAAAATTATGCAATACAATGAGCGCCACAATGCCTTTTACAAAAAAATTATCCATAAAAGTTTATGTTGTTGAATTCTAACTATCAACATAATCATTATTTTTAATTTTATTAATGTTTTATTGACTATTATAGATCAGGAAAGAGGAAAATGATTCAAATTAAAGAGTTGGAAAATATGGATATGACTTAGGGTGAAGCAAGAGAGAAAATAATTCATTATATCAATAATTATAATTGAAGTTCACTGGGTGATGAAAGTAATATGGACTTTTGCCATTAAACATCTGAATGTCAATACCTACTATATTCTTACTTAATGGGGGATAAAATGCGTGAAGAAAAATAGACTTTTATTGAATTTATTTTAATTATTATATTAAGATGTTTTGTTATTTTATTTTGATATTTAAACTTATTTTGGTGGTTTAATGTTTAAATTACTCATCTTATTTTGCGATTTAATATTAGGATGTTAACATGTACTATTAGAAGTAATATTAGAAAATAATATTATTCCGTTACAAGTTATGAGGATTAGATTTATTTCCTTGGATTGATTTTATTTCATTTCCTATTCTAGAATTATTTCCTTGGATTTCATTTATTTTCTTTCTTATTTTAGGCTTTCATATTTTATTTTGTTTCATTTATCTCCAAGTAATTATTATGAATTGATTAATTGGAAATATAGATGTTATATCTTTCCTTTCATGCTATTTTCTTTTTTTGGTTTTTCCTATTTTAGGATTCATGTAAAGATATTTATACATCTTTTCATATCAATAATACAATTCTATTGAATTCTGAAAATCAACATGATATCAGAGATAAGTTTCTGACCCTAGCCACTGGCCCACCTTTCAAAGTTGGCAGACTTTCTTCCCGCCATCCTCCCTGTAGGAAGAGAGTGATTCTCAGCCTGAACTTCACCGGGCAGCTATTAGAATCGGAGACCTCCCTAGATTCTCCCTGTGTTCAAGCAAGAACCAGTCATAGGAGTCGATTTTTGTAGTCGGCAATACTTGCAGCCTTTGTTGCGCTTAATTTATTCCCTGCATAGGCGCACAATTCACCGCGACATTGTGATTTCAATGGTTTTCCCTGAGCAAACGTTCAAGTAGCTACAGGCTTGCGTTTTCAACGGACTACGAGCCTTATTTTCACTTTCAAGTGGAAATCTAGGCCCGACAGTGGGATTTTGTTTCTCTCCAGTGCAAATCACAGAAGATCCCCAGTTGAAATCTCTATTTTTCACTTTTTTGAAGAATTGTTGTCCCTCGCAGGCGCAGATCCTGATTTTGAGTTTCAGGTGGAGATCTCGACTCAGTTTTTCTAGTGGAAATCATTTTCTCTCTAAAGGAAATCTCAGTTTTCCACTCTTGTGGAAATCTCAATTTTATTTTCCTTGTTAAAATTCCGCTGGGATTTATTCATTCTGGTGGAAATCGCGATTCTCTGCTTGCAGCAAAACCGCACAAAGGGGAGGAGCCATTTTTCCCACTGCCTTCCCTCCAGGCTTTCCCATGACCATTTTCTCTACAAATTTTAGTTGTTGATCCTTCTTGAGAGATAATTAGTTGTCGAACCTCTCGATCTCCTCCCAAGTCCGCCAAAGCACCAACCCACAGCCAGAACTATCCCCTGTAGCCTTTCCAACCGCTGGAACTCCCCTTGCAACCTTTCCAACCGTTGGAACTCCCCTTGCAGCCTTTCCCGATGACGAAATTCTCGCTTGGAGCCTTTCACGCCGCCATAACTTCATGTGGACCTACCTGTTGCAGACTAGACCTCCTACCAAGACTGTCGGACCTACTCTTACGGTTGATTCTCTCCCATGCAACCTTTCCCCCTGCCAGAACTCCCTCTTGTAGGTTTTCCAGCTATTGAATCTACCTCTGCAGATTTTACCCTACAGATTTCAGGCAATTGGACCTCTTCTCTGCAAGTCCCTAACAGCAGAAAACCTTACCGGCACCTTCCTGCTAGCCGCAAATTCCTGTCGGCTGCAAATTCCTGCAGCCTCCTCTGTGGCATTATCCTCCATTTCATATGCATGGATTGAGGAAACGAAGAGAAGTTTGTTACATAGTAGTTCATCTTTGGCATGCTTTCAAAATGACTTGAGAAATGTTATTACAGAGGCGAGTCTGGAATGTTATTACAGATGCGAGTCTGGATGTATCCTTGAATGAAATCCCAACAAATGGCCTAGATGCCCTTCTGCGCCGGTTTCTTTTCTGTTGCCCAAAAACTCCATGGAGGTCCTCTATTTTCCTTTGCCAACGGAACTCTCTGCAGTCAGAAGTATCTTATTGCATGCCCTACTCGCTGCAGAGCCTCTTCCTCTTGAAGTTTTTCCTTGTATCAGGCCCTCCTCCAGAATTTTTCCTGCAGCAAACCCTCCTCCAGAATCTCTCCTACAACAAACCTTCCTCCAGAGCTTTTCCTGTAGTAAGCCCTCCTATGAAGTTTTTCCTGCATCAAGCCCTCCGGAATCTTTCCTGCAATAGACCCTCCTCTGAAACTTTTGCTGCGGCAGACCCTCCAAAAATTTTGCTACGGCAGACCCTCCTCAAGAGTTTTTTGCTGCATCAGCTCTCCTTCAGAATCTTTCCTGCAACAAACCCTACTTCGGAGCTTACTTCCTTTTTTTTTTTGCAGGTCATACCTTGTAGCTTTTTCCCGCAAGTTGTCTACTTCCTTATAATATTACCTAGAGAAGCTTTCTGCCTACTCACAGACATTGTAGAAACTGCAGTCTAAGACAACCACAAACAACTAGGAAGTCAACTTTTCCTGAAGTTTGTCTACTTTCGTGCACTTCCCTGCAATATTACCACGATGAGTCTTCCGCCTACCAATAGACAATGCAGTCAAAGAAAATCACAGTCAACTAAAATATCATTAAATGTTCTTTGGGTTGATTACTAAGTACGGAATGAATACTTTAAGTTCTAACTCACAAATAATCTTCCTTGTCCATTGTTTGTTGTTTTCTAATCAGAGTTGAATATTATTTTCAACCATGCTTCAACTTGAAGGAGAGCGTTAGAAGTTATATTAAGAAATAATTTATTACTGTTCGAAATTATGAGGATTAGATTTATTTCCTTGGATTAAATTTATTTTCTTTCCTATTTTAGATTTATTTCCTTGGATTGAATTTCTCCTTTCTTATTTTCGATTTTTCTATTTTATGTTGTTTCTTTTATCTCCAAGTATATATTATGAATTCATTAATTAAGGATATAGATGTTATATCTTTCCTTCTATATTATTTCTTTTTTCTCGTCTACCTATTCTAGAATTCATGCATGGGTATTTATACCCCATTTTCATATCAATAATACAATTTCGCTGAATTCTAAAATCAGCACTTATTATACACAATTTAATATTTTTATTTTATTTTATTAGAATGTTGATATGTTACATTTTAATGTGTTAATATACTAGAAAGTTAATATGTTATTTCTTACATCACATTTTGATATTTATATAATATTATTTCCTTCATATAATTTTTAAATTTGAAGCTTAAACCTCAAACTGCCTTGATGCTTGTGCCTGTCTCACGAATTAAAATGCCTTAATACCCATTAGCACAATTTTAAATCTTCAAGAAATATATTTTGAAGTTACTTAATTTTATATATATTAGGCATTAACTTATTATTAGTTGCGGGCTTCTAAAGACAAAATTTCGGAAGAAAATCCTCAAAGGAGCTTCAATTAGTCGGTATACAACTAGTGATGCTGACGGTTCAATAACATCAATAAAATGCTATAATAAGGTCACGTGTTTTTCTTAAAAAAAGTCAATTTTCTTTTACAATAACCAACAGAAAGTTGTGACTAGTGCGAGCATGCTCGTATAAAGTAAAATACCGATATTGATGCACAATTAATAACTTACCGTACATATTCATGTCCCCAAGAACCAATGTCGCCCTCATAACCCAACAATCTATATTTCAAACTCTCCTGTAAAAGGTATATGTGAAAATATAAGAATCACAAACAAGGACATCTTATAGAACCAATAGCATACAATGGTACAAACAATAGAATGTGCTAAAAAACTATATCAATCTACAAGAACAAACACTAATGCAGATGCATGGTTCAGGAATTGCTAAACATAAATGTCATATGATGATAAAATAATAATCATACTTGTGTACCGGATAGGCTAATGTGAAACTCAAAGTTATCACCAATCATGTTGCCAACTTCCCAGGTTTATGAAAGCACAACAATTATGCAGACAGCTCAATGAAGATCATAAAGAAAATATATGCTAAATGGTCATCATGATATATTTAGTAATCTAACCCTTTCTCCTTCAACAGACATGGTCAATGCCAACACTGAAAGTATATCCGCTAGGTATTTCTGCAATACAATATATTCAGCGACCGATGAGATGATTATTAATAATTAACCATTTCATGCAGAAACGTTGCCCATAAAATGTTTAGAACCTTTAGCTCGGAATCAGGCATTGTCTCAAAGTACGCCTTCAATGTTCCATAGTGTGGACGAAGGAATTTCAAAGGCTTAGGAACAGATGTCATTGAGCTTGTTGCTGATCGAATTTCTTGTCTGCAAACAAAAGGAGAAGAAAAATAAAAGGACGTCACCATCTAGTGAAAGAGGATTGAGAGAATAGACTAGACTTCAAAACATCATTAGAAACGAGAAATCCCAATATGTCATCAGAAACTACTTCAAAGTAGTTAATGGGTCTGGCAGTAAATATGATTAAACCCTTATAATCAACCAAACGAGATACCTCATGCTCTCTAGTGCAAGCTTCTGGACACCGGGATTAGCATCCTGGACGCGTTCGACATACAGCTCGAGCTGCTGCTTCAGAGCCAGGTCCTCGTCAGACTGAACAAATCACAGAAACGTCAATGTTAGCATCGATTATGGCAAATGGGAAACTACGATTCCCACAGGCACCAGGGAAACGCCGAGCTAAAATTTTCATGGAATTATAAAAGGGTTAACAAAAGAATCACCAGATCTTCATCCTTCTTATCTTCCTTCTTCTTCCTTGAATCCCTTGGAGGCGGTTTTGCTGCCTGCTCCGGAGCCGATGAGCTGCTAGGGTTTTGATCGGCGGACATGGCTTTGCTAAGTTATCTAAGGAGAGCAATAAGGAAATTCTTTCAGTGATTTGAGAGGTCTGAGAGTGAGGAAACAAAATCTAAGTAGTAAGTGTGTAGTGGAGGCGGCAACAAGATTATCAAGACGGAGAAAGCGGCAGGGCTTCGACCACAGGAAGACGAACAAGAAAGGGGAACGATCAAAAAGGATGTATTGCTTCCTGTATGGTGCAGTTATTCTATTTGAATTTTTTAATTCTAAATTTACTAAATTAACAGAGTTTGTTTCTAACATTTAAGAAATTAAATCAATTTGATTCATCTTTTTGGATGAACAAAAATGTAATTGATTTTGATAATGAACCTAATTTTATGTAGTTTCAATAAAATGCATAAAAATAATATTAAATAATATTTGCTAAGTAGCCTAAAATGATATATGTGACAGTCAAGACATTATAATTTACATTTCTAATCTCATTAAAATACTACTTACATATTTAATACTTCAAACTCAAAAATATACCAAAAATGTTACTTCTTATCGCTCTTGTAGTTGTATGTTTTGACTCGCACCCGTCGCTTTGTCCAGTGCTAAGGGCACTTCGTTTTCGAACTCATGCTCTCTTACAATTAGAGCTGATAAAGTTTCCTTTCATCCTTTAACAGTTTGATCTTCATCTGGTGCTCTAGCTCTTATGCTCCTAATTTTGAGTGCGTCTCTTTGAGTTAATTTTTTTCACCATGTAATACATGATCCTTAATTTTTGCTCCCTTTTGTAATCTTATATCTTATTACCATATCTCACAACGTCAAGGTAGACATAGCTTTCCTGCTGCCAGAGACAACCTGATATTGTTGGGTTGCTCCAGCCCCACTATTGTTTATCATGGGTTTTAAATGAAGTTACAACTATTTTCTTCTCTAATAGACATGATATATCAATAGAAAATTCACTTGGAAAATAAATAGAATTACTTTCATCCTCTTTTTTTTTTTTAGTTTCATGTAAAATCTCTAGTGTCTCCTCTTTTAATATTTTTTTTTTATCTATGTATGAGTTAGATTTATATATTATATAAAATATTATGCTTGGAAAGCAATTCCCAACATACTTCAAATACTTCTTCAATGGCTAACAACTAGTCTTTTAATTAAGGAGGCAATCCATCTTTTATATATATGTATATGCATGATGGAATTGCTTTAAGCTTGAATTCTTCAACTCTTAATGGTAGTTGGTCAAGAGTGAGTGTCATCACAACATGATGAATATCACTAATCACAAAATCAACAAGTAAATAAAAATAATTCAACTGAAAAAGCTCATGTTACCTCTTCATCATCTTATTGAAGTTCCTTCTCTACCGTAAACTAATCCATAACTACTTGATAACTTGATTTGTAGCTCCAGAAGCCTTAATGGACTTAGCTCATTTTATTTATTTATTTATTTATTTATTTTTATGGATAATCATTATAAAATTATAAAAGATGAATTATGATGAATTATGCAAGAAAAAAAAATTATGAACAAAAGTCAATCTACTCATATTTGTAGCTTTATGAAGTCTTCACCATTAAATGATGCAATCTTCTACCATCCAATTTTCATGGGTTAAGCTATCAACTATTGAATCTTATTATAAGGCTTTAATCCCTATAAATATATTGATCATTACATGATTATTATAAACATTCCCTCTCTTACCCTCCCATATTAAATATTTTTTTAAAAAATCCTTAACGGACAAGCTTGTTCTTGATTCTACTCTCATCTCATGTGAGCTATCCATGCATTTATTGAACTCTCAATCTCTTTGTAGAACGATTTATTATGAATGAAAGAATTTCTTAAACTTTTCTTATCTCTTAAAAATTCAATAAACTGAAATACAGTAATTTCATAAATCCTCTTTAGAAACTTATCAAATTTTTTAAGAGTAGATATCGAGTTATTAAGGTGATCCCCTCTTGGAGAACTCCATCTCACGTTGTTTACTCATATCTAATGTGAGGTACAATTCACTCATATGCTCACATTGTTCAACGTGTATATCATCATCTGACTTAGTGCAAAATGTCATATCGAGGTCGATCGCATCTTATCAATGTCACAACAGCTAATTAACTTTTAATAATATTATTAAATTTTCACCAAAAATTTATTAATATCATCAAAATTCATAAAATTAAAGTATTAATTCAAATTTCTATATAAATTAAGCTCAAGGAATAGTGCACAAATAAAGAGGAGGGAGGGGGGGAAGAACATTTATCAATCCTGTATGTTAGATTTTTCATCCACTTAAGTATAAATATTGCTATGTTGTTTTTTTAAGGGTTTTGATTTTGAAAATAAGAACGAATAGATCTCGATTATTTAATTGTTTAAATAATCGAACACAACATTATAAATAATATGTCATCGTGAAAGATGAGAATATCATTTAATAACAAGTATTCAAATGAAGAAATTTGGTATATTTGTTTAGTCTGCAAAAATACCAACAGATCGTTCACCTTTCTAATCTGAAGATTAGGTAGGGTTTAGATTATTTGGGTTACTAATTTCCTATAGGCACAAGCCCCTATAGTTAATTATATCTGAAGCGACTGAAATCACTTAAAAAAATCTTGATTAAGATTGAGGTTATATCTTTAAGAATTTGAATTTGAATTTTCATGTTTATTTATAAGAAAATCAAATGAAAAAGGCTCAATGTGAAATAGTTATTTCTAGAAACCTAAAGTGATAAAAGTAGAAGATATTGAAGATACCGAGAAAACCTCAGTGACATCTTAACTATCCTATGATTTGGTTTTACATTTTTGAAAGAGAAGCTATGTAATGTTTCAATCCTCTAATTTATTTAGAAATTTAGGACTTATATCCCACGATATAAGATCGGGAGAAAGCCTAGAAATGTGATGATTTATGTTGTGTTAAAAGGAACAACCTCAGAATCCTTAAACTAAGGAGATGTTCACTGAAAAAAACAAAACATCAAAAACTTTGTCTAAGAAAATAAAGCACACTAGAAAACATGCAGAATGGATTTACAACCCTGCCTAAAAAGGGCTCTCATCTAAACCACTTAAATGTAGTATTAAACCATGAAGACTGGACTTAATGAATGCAGGATAGGGAAGGTTATTATTTAATGAGAATTTTAGGCCTTACAACTTGATACTAACAATCAAGATACCTAAGTATGAATGGTGTGGAAAATGTTCTAAGCTAATGCAAGTTTATTCTTACAATTTAAAATTTAAAGATTTTAAAGCTCCTTACACCAGATGAATATTATTATTTTGGGGTAAGTATTAGTGTCAAGCGGCCAACAACAAGCTGTGATGTAGGTATGCGCGTCCTTGATGATGAATACACAGATTTTTTTAAAAGGTCAATCGGTATGCAGAGATAGAACTCACTCTATAAGATAGTGGTTCTTACAGGTCAAACCACCTTTTTCCATGAAATGAGTGAGGGTATGAAGACAAGAATATAACCAATATGAAATGAACATTTCTATGGTGATCTTTTATTTTAAGTCATAAACATGTTTATAGTATTTTTTAATTTAATTTTCAATTTTGTTGTTTAGATTGCATGATTTAGTAAGGTGTTAATGCAATTTTGTTTGGGGTTATGAGTTTCACTTTATTTTGAAAAATTATGTTTCAACTATTTGGTTGGGGTAGAAAATATAATCCTTATGTGCAAATCTAGGCAAAAGACACACAAAGCATCGACCAAAAAATGGGGGCAGACCTATTAAACACAACAAGACAACAAAATGGGTGTCAACCCTAAACCTATGTTTGACTCATCGATCAACATCATTTGAAACATCGTTGATAGTTTAGTTGAGGTTTATCATTCTCTCTGTGTTTCGTCTTCTTTTGGATATGTCAGATGTCGATAGTTGATCGACCAAAACACCTCTTAAGTCTATAAAGAAAATGATGACTCAAAAGGTAAAAATGTATAATGAGTATGAAGAAGTTAATTAGATTTTTATTTAAGAAATACTGGTCAAGATGCTCATGTCCTTTCGTCATTCCGGGATACCATAGTCCATAATCTGCTTAGCCCAAAGAAGTAGTTAAACCTACTCAGACCAGATGATTCTTGTCAGCAACCATGGATTTTATCGTTCAAGAAGCCTTCGTAGACCTGAGTAGAAGGGCTTAAAATTGGTTCGGTAATGTGGGTTCATTAAGGGTTCACTTTAAGTTTTAATGACTTTCGAATTTTAAGTTGTTAAAAATTTTAGCTTTTTATGACTTCTTAGTAGATTTTATTATGAAAAGATGGGATTCATGTTTTGGTCTTACATCTCCAACACTTCAAGTTGTTAAAAATTTTAGTTGTTTACGTCTTCTTAACATATTTCAACGATTGAAGCAAGAATAAATTCAAGCGGGCTGAATGGGAGGGAGAAGGAAGTCTCCACAGCTCGTGTGCGACTCAATGGAAGAAGTCTCCCTAATGAAATGAAGGAGGAGACCGAATGGATAAAAAAAAAAACGGGTTAGGGCTTGGGATAAAGGAATAAGTATTACATCAAGAGACCGGACGTAGCTTTGTGTCCGGACTCAAATTAATTTACGCCATCTATAGAGTTCCGGGCACACTAAAAAAAATAAGTAAAAGTGTTGATTTTACGGTTGTATCGTGGTGAATTTGTGATTGTACTGTGGTGGTTTTATGGTCGTATTTTTGTGAATTTGTGGTTGTATTGTTGTGATTTTGTGGTTATATTACAGTGATTTTGTGGTGGTATTATGTTGATTTTATGGTTGTATTATGGTGAATTTGTGGTTGTATTGTGGTGGCTTTGTGGTTGTACTATAGTGATTCTATGGTTGTATTGTCGTGAATTTGTGGTTGTATTTAAAACTCAAAATTACTGCAATAGAACCATAAAATCATTACAATACAACTACAAAATCAACATATTTATTTATTTATTTCTGTGGGCCCGGGATTGTATAGATGGCATAAATTAATTTGAGTCCTGACGCAGAGTTGTGTCCGGATTCTTCATGTAATATTTTCTCAGAATAAAGGGGTTATTTATAGCCAAAGGAGAGAGGATTTTTTTTCTAATTAATTAATCTACTTAATTAATATCATATAAGAATTGATTTTTTTCAAAATTTTGTATTGAGTTAAGTTTTTTGTTCCATTTTTATAAAAATAAGATCATTTCAATATTGT